TCAATTTATTCCTTAATATAAAACCAACGATTTCTTCTTCTCAAAAAATATTAAGAATCTTATCTCTGAAAGGACTCAGCATTTATCGAATTGTATCATTTATCTGTCTTTGTGTGCACACATTTTATATTTAAATTTGCAATAATCACATCTTGTCTTCATAATTATTGAATACGAACATTTTACCTGATGGACAGTTTATTTAAACTTAAACATGACAACGGCCAAACGGGTAAAGAGCGATAAAATTCATTTTTTCAAACGCATATTTTCGCTTTAGTTGTCAGGTTGTTACATATATTCGTTCGTTTTTTTTTCCTGATACGCCTATGGTTAAAAAATATTAAATGTCTGAAACTAAATTAATTTTTACATTCTTATTTATTTTTATACCCTAAATGTGTTAAAATATAATTTTTATATTTGTTTTATATATTAGTTTTTATATATTCGTTCGTCTTTCATAATTATTATTTATTAATAGTTATGATTCAACAATATATTCACCCTACATTTTTTACGAACTCCTGCCAATGATCCGCTGACTGTCCAATGCCTCAACGATAGGTTTAAACTCGAAAAATCTATCAAGTCACGTTTTGAGCTCCAGATCATTGTTGAACGCAATACCTTTCAAATTGTTAGAAGGTAATCGATAATGTGTTGCTCTGAAGGGGCGAAATCAGGAGAATATAGTGTGTGTGTATGTGGTAAAGCTTCCTAACCGGGTTCTTTAATTGCATGTTTGGTAATGGTAGTGACGTGGGGGCGAGCATTGTCATGTTGAATAATCACACTGAATCGCCGGTGAGGTCTTTTCATCTCAATTGTATCTTTCAACTTTTTCATTTGTTCCGCATACAGCTTAGCATTGACCGTTTCGTTGTTTTGAGTCATTTCATAGTAAATTAACCCATGCCAGTCCCACCAAACGCTGATCATTCGCTTGCGTGTTTACAGATATGGCTTGGTTCTGAGTTTTGCTTGCTTCTTGGGACTCATTTTTCCCCGCTACATATTCAAATAAAGACACAATTTGTCGTCTCCTGTGATAATCCGATGAAGGAATCTTACATTGTATCTACGAGTTACCTGTTGTCGAGCGAATAAACTGGCATCAACGGAGGAGTTTATTTTTCTCAGTCAATACGTGTTGCATCAATTTCTGAACCTTACCCATTGAGTTAAGATGACGAGAGACATGAGAACTTGCCATTGAGTCAATTCTCTAGCGGTCTTGCGCAGTTTTTTTTAATCAGCATGTGCAATTCATTCTCACTAGACTGAACAGGTCGGCCAGAATACGGAGAGTCTGTGAGTTCGAACTTCCCCTCCTTGAAACGGGAAAACCATTTATGTGCCATTCTGTCGGTAATGCAATCATCTCCGTACACAGCACAAATATCTCAAGCAGCCTTGTCGCTGTGATTAAAAGCAAAGAAAAGATGTCGGACATGGTCATTTTTGCCTACTTGCCATTCTGTCTCAAAAAGGCGTCTAATCTGAAATAAAATTTCAGTACCGTTACGCAATATTTTTTACAAGATGACCAGTGTTACTAAGAAGCAAAAAATGCTACGAAAGATTATTTTTCGAGATCACTCATAAAACATCAGAAAAAAAAAAACGAAGGAATATAAGTAACAAGTTGACAACTAAAGCGAAAATAAGCCTGAACATTACTCTTTGAAAACATGCATTTTCTTGATTTTTACCTGTTTGGTCGTTCTCAGCGTGTAAGCATTTACGAAACTATCCATCAGGTAAAATATTCGTGTTCAGTAATTATGAAGACAAGATGTAATTATTGCAACATTAAATATAAAATCTGTGTACACAAAGATAGATAATTGATACAGTCAGATAAATGTTGATTCCTTTTCAGAGATAAGATTCGTAATATTTTTTTAAGAAATCGTTGGTTTTATTTTAAGGAATAACACTGGAAACTTAATTGATAATTTAGATGCAATGAAAGAAGTAAAAAAAAAAAAAAAACGTTTGAATGATCCAGTCTATTTAAACTACATGTTATAATAGACTTTAGTGAAACAGAAATAACATGCAGACGGGTCAAAGAGATCACAAACTGGCTAACTACCTTACTGACTGGTTCTTCCAGGCCTGTTTTCATATAAATAACGATTTAGTTGAACAGATTTACGAGCAGTTACATCAACAGAAATGTTTGATTCAGGAACGACTTGTTTTCAGCGAATCAATTATAATTTGAATGTTAAATGTTTCCACCTGTCCCAGTCGTATTTTGAATATCCGCCCTATCGCGATGTTTGTTAGCAAGTAGAAAATTTCAAGATGTGTAGCTATGAATTAAAGATGGCAGGATCAAGTAAATACAGACATAACTGAAATGTTTTAACAATTAACGGAAGGTGCACTGGAATAACAAAAGCTGCTTTACGAATGCTAAACAAAGTATTAAGGAACAGGAAAAATTCGTTAGAAACAAAGAACAGATTTTCGAAATTATATGTGATATCTGTCTTCCTATAATGCCAGTGAATGCTGGACAATTTCTTCACAGATGAAGAGGCAAAAGATATACGTTTCTACAGACGGACAGAAAAAAACCATGGACGGAGTACGTGAGTAACGAGGGTGTTTTAAGGATATATGCTCTTAGAATAATAAAGAGAAAGATGAAATCTGTGTAGCACATACAGAGGAAAGAGGGATTGGAGAATTTGAAACGCACAGGACATATTGAAGACAAGGGTTGCAGAAAAAAAAAATCGAGTAACCAACCTAACAAGCTTGTTTAAATAGGGACTGGGTAGGATAGTGGTGAAAAAAAAAACGGATATTGCTGACAGCAACAAAGGGTAGGAAACCGTGGATAGCTACGATTGTCCACGTCCTGAATGGACACAACACATAAAAGAAGTAGGTGTCCTCTGTTGTTTCATTAACGGCCCTCTTGGTCCGCTCTCAACTTGGTATGTGTGCTGATAACACAGCGATTTACTCCTGTCTCGATAGTATATCTGATCAGATCGATAAGGTCAAATTGGCGGCTGATCACAGAAACGACCTACAATGTGTTGTTAACTGGAATAAAGACTGGCTTGCTAATATTAACGCCCTCAAAACAAAACTGCTCTTTATTAATCATCTGAGAGACACGTTTCTGCCTTCCATCAACATGGCTGATACTAACCTCCAGGAGAGTGGTTCTTTGTGCCTTCCCGGGCTAACGTTCTCGGCTGACATGAAGTGGAAAGACTATATTGAATCCATTGCTAGGACAGTTACGAAAAAAGTCGGTTCCCTGTGTCGTGCGAGATTCTCTATAGAATTCTAACCTCCAGGAGAGTGACACGTTGCGTCTTCTCGGGCTAACGTTCAGGGTTAGGGTTAGTACAGTGTTACGTACTAATTACTAATGTTAATCGGTAGAAATAATTTACTGCTATGCGTGATCTTCAGTATGCGTAAATTGGGTGAATTTTTTTTTTTTGCATCCACATCAGTGCAGTTTAATGTCTATACATGTATTGCATACATACATAATGCGATGGATAAATTGTCGTATAAATGACAATAACACTGACATCCCGTTTTAACAGATATATTTACCAAAATTACACAAAATTATCTTGAAACACTAAAGAGGAAATTCAACCACGGCCTTCAGACGAATTTGGAACCTCCTACATCTCTTCTGGACGCTCTCCTTGTTTAAGTTGGTGAATGATGTCATAATCCTTGCCTTCACTTTATCTTTGGTGTTACAAAGATTTTTTTTAGTTTCTCGCTCAACTACGCCCCACACATAATAATCAGAAAAGTTGTAGTCTGAGGAGTTATGTAGCCAGATATAAGGGGTGATGTGGTTGCAGAAATTGACTGACAACGATGACTGTGTTCTGCTTGTGTGGTATGGTGGAGAGTTCTGTTGTCAGATATAGGGTCTTCCAGCAGCCACCCTCTTTACCCAGGTAGCATTACCTCTTCAAAGCACTTGACATAGGCCACCATGTTGAGTCTGAGGCATTGTGGGAAGATAAGATGAGTAGAGGCATAACGCCGCCATCACTAATGCTTAATCCAAATACCTTCGAAATCACCATTAGACTCATCCAAATTTTTCCAATTCCTCTGCATTCTCCTCAGATTGACACAAAACCGCTCTGAAATATTCGTATTGGAGCTTCCGGCGCGAATGCCAATCAGTACAGCATGCCGTTTCCAAATTTTTGGCGGAGTGAATAGTGTCATGGGGCTCTTTTTCTCAATGACGGTGCCCAACTAACCCTACTATACTCTATAGTCGAAAAATCAAAAACAAACAACGCGCATGCGCGAAATTAAAAATATAAAATGGCGACAATTTACATATATATATATATATGTAAGGGGTCTGTATACATGTAAGGGGTCAGCACTTCGGCGTGGTGTAATGGTTAGTAAGCTTATCTCGCTCAATCAATTACGACTGAGTAGTGTGCCCGATCTTCACTCGGTGCTCCATACTTTTGACCTTGTGCCACATTTAAGCTACGCTTACTGGGAACTTCGACGTAGTGTAATGGTTAGCAAGCTTATCTCGTTAGGTCAGTTATAACTGAGTAGTGAGTCCGATCCTCACTAGGTGCCTCATACGTTCGGCCTTGTGCCACATCTAAGTCACTGTTAGGAAACCACCATATACATGTAGAGGTGAGATAAATTGTGATTGAGTGCGAATTTTAGCTCTGTTTGCTAATATAAAATCAATTGATTGTAACTATTACTAAATTTCGATGATCATTAATCGTTGAAGTGTCACAGTTAATTTCTGGGGTCGTCTATTGTCTGGCGAAGAGGATTGTCATAAATCAACATAATTTGTTGCTCTGTTCTGAACTTTCAACTTTTGATGTGTAAAGTGCAGGGTGGTGTTTAAGGTGATAATTCTGATAAAGATTCGAATTATGAGGAGAGGAATATGCTAAACAGGTACAACAGTTCTCTTCACATTAAATCTCAGGTTTCTGGCTTTAATGTTCAATAGGTTTAAGTGAATACAAATAGACAGACAGAAATTTCGAGAGAAAAAGAGAGACAGAGAGAGTGTCAAGCGTCTGCGAAAGAAAGAGAAAAACCGAAATAGAGAGAAAGACCGAGAAAGACTGATAGAAAGACAGACAGAAAGACAAATAGAAAGAATGAGAAAGACAGACCGAAAGACAGATAGAAAGACAAACAGAAAGACAGACAGAAGCAGATTGAAAGACAGATAGAAAAACAGACAAAAAGACAGATGGAATGACCGAGAAAGTCAGACAGAAAGACAGACAGAAAGACAGACAGAAAAACAGACAAAAAGACAAACAGAAAGACAGACAGAAAGACCGAGAAAGACAGATAGAAAGATAGAGAGGAAGACCGATAAAGACAGACAGAAAGACAAATGAAAAGACAAACAGGAAGATAGAAAGAAACAGATTGAAAGACAAACAGAAAGACAGATAGATAGACAGATAGGCAGATAAAAAGACAGATAGAAAGACAGATATAATATTTTGTAGTACTCCTTCAATACTCTACCAGATTGCCTGGCCCATACCCTTAAATCGTCTACTATTAAGGACTTCAAAAGTTGATTAATAAGTTGATAATATGCTGAGTGATATTCGCACTGATCTACTTCGTTTAGGTATACAGACCCTCCTCTATTCCTCGTAAGTTGTCTTGTTAATTGTTTTGGAACTTATTGTTCTGTGTTTTTTGTATGTATCCGTCGACACCGGATGCTGGTGCTGAATAAATATATTAAGCACTCATTCTTCTCTGTGTATCTTTTACCTCGACGATACAACAGAAAGACAGACAGATAGAAAGCCAGGCAGAAAGAAAGACAGAAAGGCAGATAGAAAGACAGACAGAAAGAGAGATAGAAAGACAGACAGAGAATTGACAAAGATACAGAGATAATGATAGAGAGATTGATAAACAGTTTCTTAATTTAAGAAGAGAGATAGTTATATAGATATGTAAACTAATAACATCACAGACAAATCTTTACTGTGACTTCAAGTTTTACGCTATGAAAAAAAAAACAAACAAAAAAACCTTTAGACGTTTCATAACGTGAAACGTAAAGTAAAGATGGATCATTTATGTCTTTAACCTTTGGGGATTTTTCTACCGAAGTTTGCAAGATTACTGACACGTTTCTATCTTTTTTCTTTTTCTCTGTCCGCCTCGAGACGTTATTTTTGTCAAAGTTTCAATCTTTATAGCTAGAGACTGAAAAAGTGAGAATTAACGTTTTGAGTATAATAATAAAATGCCTTGAATTATCGAATAACATAAGATCTCATGTGAAAAAACAAAAAAAAAAACAAAATACAGAAATACATACGTGGATGTAATAATTAACTTGACTCGTAGATAAATCTTGATCTGAATTTTTTCTGTATAATTTTCGATCTTTATGATTAATATTGCCCCTTGAATTAAGGGCATTAACAAAAAAGGAAATTATATTGTAAAATATATGCTAGGCTGAGCGACCTATTTATATAACTGCCAATATGTTTGTGCCGGAGTCCAGAACAAACATGGAAGGAAAGGACAAAACCTGATACTATTTTGTTGATGATAATAAGCTCGACCTGTCGTTAAAGACTTTTTCAATATCTTACACTTTGTTGTAAACTGCCACTCTGCTTGTCTTTTACTTATATCCAACTGATTTTTCTATTCAGTTTGACGACGAAGAACTTTCCCTAAGAATCTGTATTCGCCCAATCACTAATTTGTTCGTTTATACAGTTTATGAATATAATTATTATCTTTGCACAAATAGCATTTTCAGACACGAAAAAAAAACATAAATGAAAAGTTATTCCATTAACCTCGAGAAGTCGCCGAAAGTTGGCAAGAATGAAAAATCTTATTAGCAAATTCCTTGTCTGCGGATTCTTAAGAAAGAGAAAACGTGACAAAGAAGAAACGAACAACATTTTGCGTCGTTTGCCAAAGAAGGAACAGGTTAATTACTATAATAATCCCTTGTTAATATTCCGAAATTATGTTAGAAAGCAGTGTGGCGTAAATTGTTGGGTATAATAAGACATTAGAGAGATGAAATTACTCAATGAGCATTAGACTTCTGTGTGATATATAATTATATTTATTTTGATAAGGCTATATGAGTTTACTTTTCCGCAAGCCTATACCAATGAGAAATATATGTAAATAAATATGCGAAATACAAACGTATAAATATGAACGTATATTTCAAGAGGTAACTGGAAATGTATTAAAGCGAAAAGCCTTGAATCAACAGCGATGTGGTCCTATAGACAGAGACTGAGAATACCACGAATAGAACATGTGAGCAAAGAGGAAGTTCTAAGGAAAATGTCAAATAGAAAGATACATACTTAAATAAAAAAAAATCAGGTGAATTATTATGGGAGCCATTATGAAGAAAGAGGTCTTCAAAAAATTTAACTCATCAGGACAGAGTGCAAGGTAGGTAAGATTTTTTAATTGTAGTGTTTTAATTTAGTATTTTTTATATGACACTTTTCTGCTAAAAAACATATAAGTAATTTGTTGCTATACTTGTAGTTGACTTTATTTATTTTGGGCAGCAATTTTCTTATATAAAGAGCTTCCAGAATTTTATGCTTTTGCTTATTATTATCTTGATGAAGGCCAGATATATTTTCGAGTGATATCTGTCTAAACTGTGAATGTGGATACTTTATACACCCACCAAGAAATTAATTTGTGGACTTGAAAGGATTTAAACTAAAATAAATAGACATAATCTCAAAATAATTTAACCAAACATGCTTGAATAAAAATATGCTGTCAATATATATATATATATATATATATATATATATATATATATATATATATATATTAGTATATATACATACATCTTCCAATCACCCGCCATATGTAATCAAACAGATACCAAAATCGATTAACTGCAGACTTTCCGACTATTCTTCCAATGAAATCATATTTAACAAAGCTAAGAAAGACTGCGAAACAGTCATAAAAGATAGTGGATTCCCGGCAAAACTCACATACACACCACAGAGCACAAAAAAATCGAAAGGGACGAAAAATATCACATGGTTCAATCCACCGTACAGCAAAAACGTAAAAGCAAACGTAGAAAAAATAACGTAGAAAAACTCTTACACAAACACTTCCCGGAATCAAGCACTCTACACAAAATAATCAACAAAAACACAGTAAAAATCAGCTACAGTTGCACCGAGAACACGGGACAAATAATAAAAAAGCACAACAGGAACACTAACAACAAACCACCCGAACAAATTAAACCCACGCAGAAAAAAAAAAATGAATATGTCTTAAACGGTAATTAAACTATACTAAGCTACGGTAAAACCTCCAGATAATGAAGAAAAATATACATAGTAGCAACTGAAGAACGCTGGAAACAAGGAAACTGTGCACACAGAACATCTTTCACAAATAATAAATACACGAACAGCACAATGCTTTCTAAGTATATCTGGAAAATTAAAAACAAAACGCAAATCACACAAAAACATCATAGAAAATAAGGAAAATATCATCAGCCTACAACAATCAATCCAAAACCTGCATGGAGGAACAATAGCTATTACTACCTTTCCTGACCAAAATAAACTACTAAATAAACGATCTGAACTCATCTCAAAATGCAGACTTGAAAACAAATTCTTACTACGTTACTTAAAAGCCGAAAACTGAAAAGAATAAATAAAAATAAACAAAATAATAATAAAAAGACAAGTAAAATAAATTAACCCAAACAAATAATAAACAAATTTAAAATCCTCTCCCGTTAGAATAGACTATATGAAAATAAAAATAAATAAGTAAAACGAGTAAAGATAATCAATCCAAATAAATAAACAAGTGAAGTAAGTAAATTATAAACAAATTAACAAACCACTCCCGCCAAAATAAACGTTAGATTAGACTACAGCAATCACTCTAAAAATTGGACGAAAAAATAGTTAGTATATAAACGATCAAATTTTTTTACTACGTTACTTAAAAATCGAAAACCGAAAAGAATAAATAAAAACAAAAAATAAATAAGAAAAAGCATGTAAAATAAATTAATCCAAATAAATAAGTAAATAAACAAATTCACAAACCTCTCCCGTTAAAATAACCGTTAAAATAAATAAAAACAAAAAAGAAATAAGCAAAGCAAGTAAAAATAATCAATCCAAATAAACAAATAAACAAATTAAAAAACTACACCCGCCAAAATAACAGCTACTAATCAATCCAAAAATTGGACGAAAATATCTTCCTAGACCAAAACAAACAATCAAATAAACGATCTGAATTAATCTCAAAAATTCTTTTACTACGTTACTAAAACATCGAAAACCGAAAAGAATAAATAAATATATAAAATAAAAATAAATAAAAAAACAAGTAAAATAAATTAACCAAAATAAATGAATATATAAGTAAATAAACCACTCTCGCCTAAATAACCGTCAGTAAGGACTACCCACAATGCACCACTGACTTGTATATATATAATCGAGAAAAACCCAACACATGTGGCCTGTCGATTGCGTCTTTCAGGAACCAGTCTGTCGCATCTGAATGTTGACTTCAATTTTATATTTACATACGCTCTATCTCTTATATTGAGCTTTTATCCCATAAATATTGCACACCTTAAAACTGTATTTCTTCATATATATATATATAAGAGATATATGTGTGTGTGTGTGTGTGTGTGTGTGTGTGTGTGCGCGCGTCGATGTGTGTGTGTATGTGCGTGCGCACGCGCGTGTGTGTAGGGCATAACTGTACAGCGATTTTTTATTTATGTAGATTAGATTGTAAGCCAATAAAAGTTTTTCCTAGTTTATGGTGACAATTTAAAACTAGCAGCGAGAAATCAATTTAAACAAATGTACACAACCCTATCAACAGGAAAAGAGAGTCTTTGATAATAAATTATGAAAGCTGAAAATGTCCAGGAGACATTGCACAATTTATTTTCAATTTCTCTATGGAAACCACTAAGAGATCATATTTCAGGCCAGGAACCGTAGAAACAAAACAAACAAATAAATAAATAAATTCTAAGAAACAATTTTATCTGGTTTTTTAAAACAATATAGAGACATATATTTCTTGAGTGAGACGTTTGGTAGACGAAATAAAATACTGTTTAAAATAAACGGAACGTCTACTCAAATACGGGTATCCACTAAATGTAACGCTATCTATCTATCTATCTATCTATCTAATTAATAATCAAACAAATCGTTTTACCTCATATGGGGAATAGGAGATTTCGGCAGACGACGAAAGCGGTCGTCTGTTCTGTGTCCTTTCAGGATGTAGCCGATCATGGACCTTCACTTCCCCTTATCCCTTGTGGTTCTCAATAAGTTTCGTCCTTCTGCCACCTCCCCCACACCACGTTTTGTCATCCACCTGCTTAAGGCCGCCAGGTATGTCATGCGTTTTTTCCCTTGTCTCTCTTTCCATCTATTCGACCCGTGAGTATCAGATTCTCCCCTTTCTTCATTATGTGCTTCAGGAACTTCAGCTGCCTCTTCCTGATGTTAAGTATAAGCCTCCTTCTTGTTTTCATCCTCTCTAAGACTTCAACTTTGCTCACACGCTCGGTACATGATATCCTTAGCATCCTTCTGTAGAACCACATCTCCATCGCCTCGAGTCTCTTCTTCGTCTTTGAGAAGACCGTCCGACATTCGCTACCGTAATGGAGGACAGATGTCACGTAACAGCTCAGTACTTTTTTCTTTGCTACCAAAGATATCCTCCTGTCTCGCAATACACTGCGCAGCTTTTGGAATGCGTCCTTGTACCTCCCAATACGTCAACGGATATCAGTGTCGCATTTTTCACAAAATGAAAAAAAACAAAAAAAAACAACAAAAACAAAATAAAACGTATAACCTACTTCAAAATGACTTCTTCAGACTAAATAATGGTTTTATTTATGGAATCCACATCAAGTGATACTAAATTGAAGATATATGTAAAGTTGCAAAATAATGGAATTCAATCCATAAGAAAACATATTACAATTAGGCTGAACTAAGAAAATTCCTATCCAAAGAATTTAGGAAATCAATTGGTTAAAACGTTTGACTATCTAAATGACGTCTTGAAAGATATAATCCATCTAGAGGAGGACGACAAACAATATGTAACTGTCCCTATCCTCTTTCATTTCCTTTATTTCATGAGCTCTCCATTATTCGAGGTGGATAGAAATGCGAGATATGCGCTTAGACTGTCCTCTTCCATCAACCGCAGCGATTTTCTGATCAAGAAAAGAAAAGAATAAGATGAGTAGCATATTTTGTTAGCCTTGCATTTGTCTGCTGTCGGAAATCTGCAATTGTTGGTCGATGGGCACGAAAATGTTTTTGGACAGGATTTCATTTTAAACTGCTACTCTGCTGGAGATGTCAAGTATAATGCTTTGAAGGCATCTATAAGAGCGCTGGCGTATTTGTCAGAAACAAATATTAGATTGGCTTTCCTGGATGAATACGTCAATCATGAAGAGCACGAAATGTGGAAGAATTTGGAGAAGCCGGAAGGCAAGAAAGAATTGAAGAGATTAGAAGGAAAATAAAAATAAAATATTTCCAGGAAGACACCTGAGTGACTTTGCTACCCGCCTTACAAGGATATTCGAGTTGTTTGAGGTCGCTGATGTAGAGGAACCCTGAAGTAATGCGCTAAGAACCATAAATACACATGCAGCAATGAAGGGCATTGTTCAGATACAAAAATCCCAGTTACTCGAGTACGAACGCTAGACCCAATTCCTTTTGATAATTGTCGAGCACCAAAGAAAATTTGTTATCAAGCCAACCAATCAACGGGTTGTATACATGAATAAAAAAATAAACAAAACAAAACAACAAAATCGATAGATTATAAACTGAATTATAAAAAAAAATAGATT